CCCTATAACGCTTAGATACGTTCCACGTTAATCGAATTTTACGTTGTAGGAATGATTAAATACATGAGCCAATCGCAGCCCGATAGGTGGCAAGTTTACGGACTACGGCTGTTTGAAAGGTTTTCTTCCATAAAATTAATCGATTCTAGACTAATTTCACTCAACATTTCCAAAACACGTATAATTTTTTGGGAATAATCTGTATAAACTACGCTATAAACAAAAAATTGTAGGATTACTTACCAAGTGTGCACTGTTCAACCACGCCGTTGCTTAAGCTTGTTTTCGTCGCGGAGCAGCGCACCAAACAGCAGGCGCGTTTTCTGATAAGTTATTTTTCTGCGAAAAATTCGTTGAACTTTGGAGACATCATTAATATAAATAATTTTTATGGCCGTTGAATAAGAAATGTTTTTTTCACAAGAAATGTATAAAATTACAGTACTGTATTAGACTTACAGTACGTAATTTAGGCCTATATACTGTACTGACGATAGTAAACTCAACTTACCTGCCTAAACTCTCCGTAGTGTGTAAGTAGTTCGGCTGCTCGTCCACTATTGGTCCAGAATCGACCAATCCTGTCACAACACAAGTCGGCGATGACGTTTTACCGCATTTTACGAGTCTCTTTTAGCATCTTTATACAAATATAGTCACAATTTTTTTGGCGTGATATACGAATCCGCATTATATGAACCCGCGTTATAGGGGGTCTACTGTATATATATATTTGATAAATGTCTTTAATCTATTTGTTAATATATTCTAGATGAATGGTAGTTTAGGCATCATAATTATAATTTAAAATTTATGGCAATTTTTAAAGATTTTTTTTTTAGTTTTCTAATTATATTATGGTTAGCATTTTTCATTTAAATTATATTTGTAAAATTCTGTCAGATGGAAATTATTTTTAAAAAGTAAACTTGAAGACAAAGTCTGTTTAAAAAAGGAACCGCCATTTATTCAATTTTAAACAAACTTTGTCTTCAAATTTATTTTTATAAATTATATTTATTATAGTAAAATTTTCAATATGAAAATTTAGGAATAAACAGAAAAATTTTACTTTATTATTTTTTTAGTATTACATTATTTTTTAAACATAATTTTTAATTGCAACATTCTTCTGTTAACATTCCAAAAACTTAATTTCATTTTTATTACAATGTATTAAAAGAAATTATTTGTTTGAGTATCTGTCTAATCATGCATGGCCTTAATTGTATTATTGTCATGGAACTTCTGTTTTATTAAAAATTCCTTCAGAGATCCAAACATGAAATTTCACTGATGCCATGTTGGAGTTGTGTGTTTGAGATGATGAGTAATGTCAGATAAATTGTTGGTACAGTTATAAATTGTACCAACAGTTAATCTAACCATCAATAATAGTTAGTCTAAACATATTACAAGTGCTAATTGTGTTTAAAATTGCCTCATTTATTTTATAGATAGAAGTAGCTACAGGAAAATTTCCTTATCCTAAATGGAACAGTGTATTTGAACAATTAACACAAGTTGTCCAAGGTGATCCACCACAGTTAAGTCTTCAAGACAATGGAAATTCATTCACTTTAGAATTTGTAAATTTTGTTAATACATGGTATGTATATTTTAATTTAAGGTTAATCTTTTCAATATAACTTGATAAACCTATAACTTTGAAAAAATAAAAATGACTGTTTAAGACTGCAATTAAATATAAATACAAAAAAACTAAGTCAGAAATACATGGTACTCTATAAAATTCTCATCTTAGGCAATTTGGAACAACAAACTGGTTATTGCTTCAAAATGTAAATGTACTTATTTACCAATTTTCAATCTAGACATGGTATTTACTGCATTCATTGAATGTCCTCAAAATAAAAGAAACAGGATGTAGAAAATATATATACATTTATGTATGTATATATATGTTCTCAAATGAGAAAAGAAAGTATACATATTCAAAGTGAAATTTCTTTGTTTTGTCCCACCGAGAATAGATTTTTAGTTGCCTTCTTGGATGTTTACTTGCTTGAATTTGACAAACTCAAGCTCCCTCTGTGTTTGTCTTAGTCATAATTAACATTGAAGTATTCAACATTTTTGGTAATATTAGTTTTTTTAAAATATCAATGTGTTAAGAAAGCAGAACAGCCTTTTTCTCACTGCTTTAAAATTGATGTGGACAGGCCTGAAATGCAAATACAGAGCATAAAGCACAAATGCAGATGGAAATAAAAACATAATATTTAATGAAGTTTGTCAAAATCAAATAGAGCAAGTTTCTTTTTATGAACTGAAAATTTTTTTATTGAAGTTTTTTTTTATTTGTGGTTTTAGGCCCCTTACCGCTCAGAGAGCACAAAGAGGCCAAGAAGATTATGTATTTAAGAGGGTTTGCGTGGTTGGTGTCCCTAAGTGGGCTAATAGACATCCCAAGTAGGGCTTATGATGACTAGTCCCTTGTGAGGGCTCATAATTTTGTGTGTGTATGTTGTGTTTTAGATTTTATTCTGCATGTTATATCTTATGTAATGTTTATTTAACTTACCAAATTTCCATTGATCAAGAGGAAGGGAAAGGTAGAAAGGATAGTTACAGTATTCATTTCTAACCAGCCTGACCTAACCGGTATTGAAGTTTAACCAATAGGAGTCATTCTAGTCATGAGTATCTTGATTCAAAAAATGGTGAAGACTTTTTCTCTGGCAAATGCAGAAATCAAAAGTTGTTTAAATCTAAATTCATTGTAAGATTTATTTCACATATTAGAGGTTATTATTAAAGTTTATTAGTTTTTAACATTTCACTTTGTTGTTTGATATTAGCTCTTGCTGATCATATTAACTGTAGTTTATATATCAATGTATCATTAGACTTTAATCATGTATGTTATATTTTTGAAACAATTTATGAATTCATTAATGTCAATTATGGTATTTTTTCATTGCACTATTCCATAAAATCTATCATATAAGCAAAATAAATATTGATAGCTGATTTCATTACTTATGTTTTTGTCAAGCCATTCAATTCAATGCTTATTTAAGTTTTCATCTTTGACAGTTCTAACTAATGAGAATTAATAACAGAGGTATAATGCATAAAGCTTTTTGTTCATGTCCCACAGATTCTTTTGGAGAAAAAAGTTTTGACAGTAATGCCAGAATAAATGCAATTTTCTACTTCTACAACTTTGTCTTGCTCCATCAAGGCTAAAAAATATATCAATTTTTTCTGTTATATATCTTAAATTCATTGAAATAACAA